ATATATATATTCCTTTAGGATATCGCGTTTATGATGCATGTGGGAACCCAACTTGGCCAGGAGGCAGACAGTGAAGCTACTCAGGAGGCGCAGCACCTCATCCTCCTATACTCCGTATGGAGTCTTCTTTCTCACATATACACCTATCACTGTGATTAATTTAAAAACTTGTATTTTGTGTTACATAATTTCATTATATAACATATACAGTAGCTCCAAAATATAACACAGTTTGTCCAAGATAGACCCCAGGCAGGGATTCAAGCTGGCAACTGGACAAGCACCTAAAGTCGGTACCTGCCACGGCTGTGGCTCGTGCGTGGATTCGGCAGCCAGCAGTAGCACCTGGGTTGAATCAGGCTCTGATCCAACCAGGAGTCCTGGTCACAGACCGGCCGCGGGCGTTGACCCCCGAACTCTCCAGGTACACTCCAGAGTACTTGAGGCCAGTTATAGGCCTAACCTCCATATGAGTATTCTACCTGTAATATTTGCCCCTCTTCATAAAAATGTATAAAAAAAGTGGTTTGTCTAAAGAAATTAAATACGGTGTTGAACATAAGGAAATATGACAATCAGAAATGTATTCCTTTACTAAATTGTGCAGGTATGGATTATGAGGGTGAGTATAATCAGGTAAAGTGCATATTAGTTATCATTGAAAGAAATAAGGATGGAAGATGAATAAAAGAGGATTTAGGAAGGTAGGGGATGTACAGACCAAGTGATTTACACACTATCAAAAACATATAAGTGTAACAGTGGTTAAGTAATGAAACCTTTGTTCATGTATGGATTTAGAAAAGGAGCATAATATAGGGTGGATAGGGAAGCATATGAACAGATGTTTGCAGATTATGAAATAGGTGTAGGATACTAAAGGCCATACAGAGTTTTTAAGTGATAGTGAGGCTCAGCAAGTAGCGCGATCGCGTGATGCAGAGAGGTTATTTCCAGTAAAAGAAGGCCTTAGACAAAGAATGTGTGATGTCACCTAGTTTTAAATATTGATATGGGTTGTAAAATAAGTGAATGCTAGTGTTGAAGGCTAGCGCCGGATAACAAGATAATGATTTTGAAAGAACGTGACATCGTTACATGTTACTTTCGAGAGATTCTTAGAAAGTTTTAAAGATTGGTGGATAAATTCGGGTATGTAAAAAGGAAGTTAAAAGTGAACACAGAAAAGAGTGACAATGAAAGATATGATGTCTGCTAGAGTAATATTATTATTATTATAATTATTAATTATTATCAAAAAGAAGCGCTAAGTCCAATAGAGGAAGGTTAATATGAATGAGCAATGTAAAATTAGGGTGGTGGACATGTCAGAGAATGGTCTGGTGAAAAGACACACTTAACAATAGAATAAACGAAGGAAAAAATGCGGGTGGTGGCATTGAGCACGTGAATACAAAACCTTTTTTTAAAGATAAGGAAAAAGAAAGATTTCGAGTTCGGATTTTTTAACCCCAGAGGGTTATCCACCCAGGATAACCCAAGAAAGTCATGCGTCCATCGAGGACTGTCTAACTTATTTCCATTGGGTCCTTAATCTTGTCCCCCAGGATGCGACCCACACCAGTCCGACTAAACACCAGAACCTACTTTGCTGCTAGGTGAACAGGACACAGGTGTAAAGGAAACGTGTCAAATGTTTCCACACGCCGGAATCGAACCGTGCCCTCCGAGTTGAAGCGGACTTTTAGCCACCAACCACCGGTCATGGAACCCAATAAAAAATGTACCAGAGAAAGTGATATCAACACTTTTATGGGAAGTGAAGCATTCCGTAGCTGCAGCATAGAGACTCAGGTGAGGAGCAATATCAGTGTGAGTAATATACAGAAAATACGGACGTGAGATTAAAGACTTCAGGGTTCCCAAAATTATAGCATAGATGGCTAAGGAGGAGTTATTGTGATTAATTTAGCATTAGAGAGGACAGAGAGCATTGTAGGACTAAGAGGTTGTTTATAAATATGGGGAGGAAAGAAGTGTAAAGGCTTGGAGGGAGAGGGGTAAAAGGCAGAAGCTTTTGAGTGCTAGGACTAGAACGTTATCCAACAGGCTGGTGTGAGCACTTTAATTCGGATTAGTAAACAGAGGTATTTGTTTTGAGGCGCTGTTGAAGTGACCAGCAGGGTAACGCTTACGAAGTTTCCTCAGAAACCAGCAGCAGGACTAGAGTCATGGAGGTAGGAAGTACTGTTCCTGCACTTCTTAAGGAGAGTTGATGATGCAGCTTGAGGTCTTGGAACTGTGATGTCAGCAGGGTTTTGACCAAGACAGCCCAGTGAAATAATGACTATTTCACCTTCCGTGGGACACGTCCAGTGAGTTTATTTGTATGTCTGTGCTTATATTTATATATATATACATACATACATGCATATATATATATTATAATATATATATATATATATATTTATAATATATATATATATATATATTATATATATATAATATTATATATATATATATATATAATTTTTTATATTAACTTTTACAGGTGTAGTTGCTTTTGGGTCTGCTAAAGTGGTTATTAGGGACAGCCACACCAATTACATGCCTTCAACACCCCTATCATCATCACTGATGCTCGTGCTGCCCACACAGTTGTCCTGATGATAATGTCTTCTCTACTGCTCCCATCTATGATCAGCTTGGGTTTGGATGCTGATTTTCTTGGTGCCGTATAAATTAATGTATTTTCGGAAATGTTGGGGAATGCTAAAGAGTGTTTTTCCTCTGCTAATTTTTAGAATTTAAAAGGGTTTGTGATGATTATTTCAAACGGCCATTTTAGTACTAATTACTTTTTATAATCACTATAATGTCTCAGATAAAGCTTTCGATCACCTGCATTTGGTAGGTGACCATGGCAACAGTTAGGCAATTCATTCCGAACGTTTCGCCTCCAGTAGGCTTCTTCGTCAAATACAAAAAGTATGCAAAAACGTAGAGATGTGAAGCGAGGAATCGTCCATCACCTTAAGTCGTGAATTTGAGGTTGTCAGCCCCCCTCACCCTGTAAAGTCAGTTCCATGTAGGAACTATTTTCTGAACTTTACAGGCTGAGGGCTGACAACCTCATTTCTACGACTTCAAGGGTGTGGACTGATTAATCGTCTTCAATCTCTACTGTTCCCGCAATGCAACTTTTGTATTCGACTGAAGGCCCTAGTGTGGTAAAACGTTTGGAATAAAGTTGCCCTAACTGTTCCCTAGAGTCTTCCCTCCAAACCCTGTCGGTATGTATACCATTTTGATGTTTTGTAGTACTAGCGACGGCGCCAAAATTTCTGAAATGGGGAGTTAGGGGTGCTTCTGGTCTAAAAGGGGGAAAAGAGATTTTTTTTGTCCCATTTTATTATTGGTTGTGTTATTATTACTTTTATTTGGGGGAAGGGGAAATTATGAGTGATTTTAAAGCCCCCCCCCCCTTCCCCCGGGCCCCCGCCATTCTGTTTTTATTTTTAAATTAAATTGTGGAAACATTTGAGTGGAAAAATTTCTTGCTTGAAGTTTAGAAAATGTCATTTTGGGTTGTAAGGTATAATTTATTTGCAAACCCAATTTCCAGGCAGTATCTCTGCTTGGGTTGGGTTTGGGTGGAGGAGTGATATTTGCAGGGGGTATGCAGTCAGTTCACTGTAAATGGGGAGAAAACAAATTAATTTAAAAAACCAAAAAAAAGAAAAAAAAAAAAAAAAGATAACACTTTTATAATTGTGAAGTGGTAAGGCATCTGTTTTTTGCATGTATTTAAAGGTAAATTATAAAAAATATTAGTGTATAATTGCCTTTTTTTTAAAATTTTATGAATCCCCAAAAATTTTTTTAATTCTTTTTGGACTTTCCATAAAATTTTTGGTACCTGATTTTTTTCCCCATAAACTGGTAGTTTCTATCAAAAATGAAAATTCTAAACCCCTTTTTGACCTTTAATTTCAAATAAATTCTAGAGACTGCAATATATTTTTATATTTGCGAATTCGTGCCATCCTTGTGCTTCCTAGATTTTCTTATGTAATTAACTTTTTTTTTTTCTCTTTTGCTGTTTTGAAATCACATTTAATTTTAACCTCCGAGATTTTGCACTAAAGTCATGCAATATATTTTAAATGTGAGCAGCAGTTAACTTCCCCTAACCTGTGTGTAAAAGAAAACAGTAAACCCCTTGTTTGTTAGCTGAAAAGCTATGATTATTTTCAGGCAATGGTGGAGTAGTTAATATTATGTCAGTGTGCGACTGACTTTTCATGCTGAAGTTGTAAACAAAAAAGTGAGGAAATCCCGACTCCGCTGGGTGCTCACGGGATTGGATGGGAACCACTTACTGGAGACTTGCAAAAGACAGGTAATGATATGTATTCCTCTCGTTAGGAAAAAAAAAGGAATATGAAAATGGTAATGGTCATGCATTTCTTCATTGTGAAATTCGTGTAATATGAATCGGAATGGACACACATTTTTCTCATTGTGGTAATGGTCATGCTTTTTTCTCATTGGGAAAGATCGTGTAATATGAATTGGTAATGTATGATTTTCTCTCTTGTGGTAATGGTTTTCATTTTTCTCTTGGGAAAAAAAGTGTAATGTGAATACTGCACAGTAAAAAACTTGCTATCCCGCGTGTAGGAGAAGGATTTGGGAAAATGGGGTTTGCTAGACTTTGTCTTGGAAAAGGGGAAGTTTCGTGCCTGCATCTGAAGGAATGAGGATGTGGCAGTTTGCTTGAGATAAAAAGTGTTTTCTATGAAAATTTTTTTTTTTTTTTTGGGTTTTCCCTACCCCGTAGAAAACAGCCAGTGTGTGAAAAAAAAAAAAGATACTGGTAATTACAAATTATTAGGGTTTGGAACACTGAATATGTTAAGCTTTATTATATTAAAAATTGTACTATAAAATTTTGTCCAATATTGTATATTACAACCACAATTGCCTTTATAGTGCTGTCATAATATAAATATGGTATTTTCTTTTCTTTTTTACAGCTGAAGAAAAAGTTGGATGGTGGACTTTTAGTAGAAGTGCACTCACCTGTCATCCCTGGGTTCAGTCAGTATTTTGCTGCCACTGTTCATGCTAATACATCTTTGGTTGCTCCATTAGCCATGCAGTACATGAAGATTATATCACATTGTGACACTGAGGTAACTCAAGTAGATCTATGTGTTTTTGTACAATACTCACTTAGAATACCATGGATATTAACTTTCTGTGAAAACTCTTAACATTATTTTTAACATAAAAATCCTGTGCCTTTACCCTTAATATTTTTTGACTTAGCAATGAGCTCATTATGCACGGTACTCCATCCCCAGAAACTCAAGTCCAGCTAATACTTTCCCTGAATCCCTTCATACATTTTACATTGCTCACACTACAACATGTCAAATCGTGTTGTTATTATTATTATAATCAAACAAATGCTAAAACCCACAAGGGTCATACAGCGCTGTGTCGCATTTAAGAATCACTTGTTTTCACTCATTCAAATCTTGCGCACACACATTGCCTCTTAGATATTTAACTCATAGCACTGATAACCTCCTTTATCTCCATCCTCCAGCCCCACCTATTCATCATACTTTGCTCCATCTACTCTAAATGCCCAAACCACCTCAACAAACCCTCCTCAGTTCTCTGAATTATACTTTTTATAAATCCAACCCTTCTAATTTCCACACTTGAAATTTTTGGCATCATATTAACACTACACATTTCTCTGAAGCATATCTCCACTGCCTCCAGCCTCCTCCTTGCTGCAGCATTTAGAACCCATGTTTCACACTCATATAGCAGTGTTGGTACAAGCATACTTTGATATACAGTGGACCCTCGACCAGCGATGGCATCGATATAACGATAAATCTGACTAGCGATACATTTTATCGCAAAAATTTTGCCTCGATTAGCGCTAAAAAGGCTCGACCAACACTATTCGTTCCGTCTGAGACGCGTCACTTCTGGCCAGTGTTTACAAGCCAGCCAGCCACCGCGGTCGCTTCCAAGCATACAATCGGAACATTTCATATTATCACAGCCTTTTTAGTGATTGCACCTGCAAAATAAGTCACCATGGGCCCCAAGAAAGCTTCTAGTGCCAACCCTACAGCAAAAAGGGTGAGAATTACAATGGATATGAGAAAGAGATCATTGCTAAGTATGAAAGTGGAGTGCGTGTCTCCGAGCTGGCCAGGTTGTACACAAAACCCCAATCAACCATCGCTACTATTGTGGCAAAGAAAACGGCAATCAAGGAAGCTGTTCTTGCCAAAGGTGTAACTATGTTTTCGAAACTGAGATCGCAAGTGATAGAAGATGTTGAGAGACTGTTATTGGTGTGGATAAACGAAAAACAGATAGCAGGAGATAGCATCTCTCAAGCGATCATATGTGAAAAGGCTAGGAAGTTGCATGACGATTAATTAGAAAAAATGCCAGCAACTAGTGGTGATGTGAGTGAATTTAAGGCCAGCAAAGGTTGGTTTGAGAGATTTAAGAATCTAGTGGCATACATAGTGTGATAAGGCATGGTGAGGCTGCCAGTTTGGACCAAAAAGCAGCTGAAAAATATGTGCAGGAATTCAAGGAGTACATAGACAGTGAAGGACTGAAACCTGAACAAGTGTTTAATGGTGACCACTGACAATGTTGTGAAACACTTTAGGGATGTCATAAAGGAACGGGAGGTACAGCCTCTATGGGCAGATATGTTGTGCGACAGAGGTCCAGTGACTCTCAAGCTGGTCCTAGTGGCATTAAAAGAAGAAGGGAAGTAACCCCGAAAAGGACTTGCCACCTCAGTCCTAATGGAAGGGGATTCCCCTTCTAAACACTAAGACCATCAACACACTCCCCTCTTCCCATCCCATCAATCATCACCAGATCTTCAATTAAAGGTAAGTGTCATGTAACTGTGCATGTCTTCTTCATTTGTGTGTTAAATTTAAATATTTCATTTTTAAAATTTTTTTTTTCAATATTTTTGGGGTTTTTCTTGCACGGATTTTTTTGGGATTTCCTTTTTAATTCTTTGGGGAAAATTAACTTGACAAGATTATTTTGAAAACGAGGGCTCTCAAAAGGTTTAAAGCGTTAGAAGGGCCCCACTGTTTTCCTCTTTCCCTTACATGAGTTTTTTTTCCCAAGTGCCAAATGTCTTTATAAAACCAACCACCGACAAGCCCCATGCCCAAATTTGCAACATTTACTTTTCAGTATCCCCCCCTGGAATCTGTTTTCCATTTTTCTTTTCCCTAGATTTTTTAACTGTTTATCCCCTTTGCTCTTTCTGTATTTCTTTGTTTTTTTTTACTGCCCCCCAAAATTCCCCCCCCCAGTCACACAACTTCTCTCCAAATTCCCTTGTGTTTTTGGCAGAAAGGAACGCGACACACACCCCTTAATTCATTATCATTAACCCTACACTTTTTCCCAATCTACTTTCCTTTCTTTCACAACCCCTATCTTTAAATTATTAAAAAAACATGGTGCTATTGCAACCCTTTTCTAAGGCCTACTTTACGGGAAAAATATCCCCCCTCCCCTGTACCTAACCCATACTGATGATATTCTCTTGATGAGTGCAAAAATAGAGCAAAACTCTTTAATAAAAACGGGGAAAGCCAAGGGGATAACCGAAACACACTGTATATTTTACCTCATTCGGGGAATTTTTTAGATCTTTTTTAATTGTTTTCCCCAATTTCTCCCAAGTTTTTCTCCCCCTTGCATTTTTTGGTTTTTGGCTGCCAAATCCCCTGGCATGATAGTGGCTTTCTTTGTGCTTAGCAAATAAAAATTGTAAACTATGAAAAGAAATAAAATTTTTAAATCCTTTTTTGTTTATTGCCCCTTATTCCAAGCCTTTTTAATGGGTTTTTAAAGGGGGTGAATGTACAAAACAAAGAATAATTTTTTAAAAAATGGCATTTTTTAGGCCTTGAGTGAGTCTTTATCACCACTGCCACAATGCTACCCTCCAGGTGAAAAAATGACAAAATTTAGTAACAGTCTGACCACAGCCACTTTTTAAAAGGCGGGTCTTCCCTTGCAGCTGCATTCCGTTGACGTAGAAAGAGTTTACTGGGTACCTGTCTGCAAGTCTGCCCCAAGTTCTACCCCAGGGTGGTTATTAAAAAAAAAGTAATTTTTTCTTACTGTATGTTGTATTTTTAAAAGTGTGCCTCTCCTCTTTCATATAATGACTCGAATCCTTTGTGTATTCGTATTATGATTAATTATATTGTTTTTTCTTAAATTTTTAAATAGGAAAGGATGGGGGAGGCGGTCAAAGGTTTTTTGTGCAACGGTTTGGACTTTGCAGGATGTGTGAGTTGTTAGATGGGAGGAATAAAGACAAATTGTTTTTGGGTTTGCAGCTGTTGGATGGAGCGGGAAATAATTTTGAAGGTTCTGGGAAATGGTACCCAAAAACTCAAGGCCGGGGAGGGGGGGAAGTACAATGCCTGCACTTTAAAGGGGGGTTTGGAATATTTTGTTTGCAGAAACATCTAACTGAATATTGAGCTCCTCTGAAAAAATAATTATTGTGAAGATGGTAAAAGTGTTTCTTTTTTTTTTGGGGGCCCCCGCCTATGGGGAGGGCCCAGTGTTTAAAAAAATTAACTACAAATTTTAAAATCTTTCTCTTCTTTTGCCTGGAGTTGGGGCAGTATTAGATGATGATTAAATAAATTTGTGTAATAAATATTCATAATTGTCTTCATGAATGCCATCATTATGAAAATTTGCTTTTTTTTTATTGCAGTCCCCTCCTCCTTTCAAAAGGGAAAGTAGTAATGCAACCTGTTAAATGTTTTTACGTGGCAGGATTGTGTTTGTTCTTTTCTCATAAATAAAAAAGGGAATCCTGCAACTTCCAGTTTTAGTAATTATATACTTAAAAGGGGGGGTGGGGTCGTCCTCAAAAAGGGGGAGGGGGGGGTTAAAGAAGGTTTTGTGGGTGAGGAGCTTGGACTTCCAGCAAGCGTGCGGGAGCGGTTAGATGTGAAGGGAAAAACAATGGATAGGGGCCCTGACTAACTGTTGGGTGTGAGCAGGGAAATATTAGTGAAGGGTTCATGAAACCCGGTTATTTTTTATAGCCGGACTTGAGTTGGAAATGGGAAGTCACCTTCACTTCAAAGGAGGGGTTTGGGATTTGGCAGTTTTTATTTTTATCGTATATGTTTTAAAAAACTTTGTATTCGGGCACCCTGTAAAAACAGATTATGTATGGTGAGTGAAAGTGTTGAATGTGTTAAAAATTTTTTTTGGGGATTTTTTCTTTTTGGGATCACCCTCCCTCAGTGGGGAGGGGTTTATTTTAAAAAAAAAAAAAAAAATTTTACAAATAAGTTTTGCATGTATTTTACTAGTAACGTTTTCCACCGAGTTAAAAGCTAAATTTCCTGGGTCTCCTGTGAGGGTTTTATAAAAAACAATTATAGAAAATATTTTCTTTTTGTTTTTTTAGATAACCTACATCCGATTACGCCGGTTTTGGTTTCCGAGAAACTCGTAAGTCGAAATGGTTGTAAGTCGAATTTTACTATAAAATATCAAAAAAACATTTTTGTAATGACTTTATTTTTTTGTTTTTTTTTGGTTTTTCACGTTTTACTTCTTTTTATGCGTTAGTATGTATTTTAACTGTAAGGCTTAGGATAAAACTTTTGTACAACCAAATACAGTGGCCCTCAAAAAGCCCTTAACCTTCCTGGAAGGGGGGATATTATCAAAGGGGCGTTTTTCGAATCAATTTTCCCCCATAAGAAGTAATGTAAACCCAATTAATTCATTCCAGACACCCAAATAAAAAAACATTTTTTTTTTTACCTAAAAGATAGTTTTTACATGCACAAAAGAATAAAACTTTAAACATGACGTTCCCCTTTTTGAAGGCTGTTTTTGTGAATGGAAGACAGGGGGAGGGAGGGGGAAAGAGGTTTTTGGAAAGGGGGAATTCCCTCCCATAGGGGTGTTGAGAGTGAACGGTTGCCTAGAGGGTATCGAAGCAAAAATTGGGTAGTTTCAAATTTTGGGTTTGGTAAAAACAGATGAGAGGGGTTGGATTTGACCGGACTTGCCCCTGAGCTTTTGTTGGGGTGCATTTTTTCCCTGTGGGGTTTTGGATTTTGAAGGGGGCCCATATGGGCCAGCGGCATTTTCCCAGTGTTCCTACTTTTTTAATTTTTTATTTAACTACCCTTACCAGTGGGGGATCGGGGGCTAGGATTTTGGGTAGTTTTAAAGAAGAATTGGAAATATATGATTTGGAGGGTGAGTTTGATTTGTGTCTTTGGGGGTGGGGAGAAAAAATTTTGGGTAGTTTGGGTAGAGGTCTTTTTGAAAAGGACCCCCTTTGTAGGGGCCCAGTAGACCTGTTCTTCCATTGTTTTTTCTTTTTGGCTTTTTTGTTTGTGTGAGGAGGGAGGGCAATTTTTTTGTTGGAGAATATGACCTAAAAATCAACTCTATGTTTTTTACTATCACAATAAACTAATATGACATAATAAACAATATTATTAACATAGAAACGGGAATTACTCTAGAATAAATAAAAAAAAGTCATTATGTATGTAGAGAGATGATTGTGGTTTTGTTGGGTTTAAAAAGGCCACTGAGTTTTTAACCGTCATATGAGGGTGAAGCAGAGCTGGGGGGGGTGGTGGTTTTTGACCCTATATAACGCCAACAATTTTGGGGGTTTGAAGTTTTGGGAACACTTATGCAACTATGGGAATCTTTTTTCAGGAAAGTTTCGCCACATTGCTTCATCACCCGTACAAAGTGGAAAGGGAAAGGGAGAGGGGGGATTAGAGGTAATCAGCCCCCTCAGCCTGGAGTCGATGTGTCGGGCCCAAAAATTTGTAAATGTACCATAGGGCCTAGAGTGGTTAATTTACGTGTGAGGTGAGGTGAGCAGGGGGTGGTGGGGTCATAGTGGTATCACCATTCGAAGTGGTCTTCGTCCAATTGGACAAGTGAGAAAAAATTTTTTGTAAAAAACCCCATGATGTGGTGCTGACAGTTGGATGAATGGTTTTTAAAAACTGACAAATTGAAGTTTAGGCATTTGCAAAAATATGGGTCTTTTTTAGGAACGTTTCGCCACACAGTGGTTCGCCTCATCAACAGTTATAAGCCACGTTACGGCCCTATGCTGTACGTTCACAAAATTGAGGGGGTAACACACGTCCCGGTGAGGGACTGATTACCTCTAATCCTTTCTTTCCCTTTTGCCTTTTTCCCCTTGTATTGGGTGATGAAGCCCCCTGTGGGTAAAAGTTTTCCCCGATAAAGATTCCAGGTAAACTCCCATATGTTTCTAAGGTCCAATCTTCAATTGTCGGGGTTTTTCAAACCATTCATCATTGGAGGAGTTGGGAGAATCGTTTCCTGAATAAAAATTCCATATGTTGATAAGTGTCTAATCTTCAAAATTTTCGGTTTTTAACATTCATCCTTGGGGGATTGGTAGAATCACTGAACATAAGAAGGAACCTTACAATCACTACGACCCTTTACCCCATTTTAACGTTAGGTAAGCCCAAAAAGCAACGTTTGGCTTTTTTCGAAAAGTTTTGCCCAAAACGTAGGCTTCTTTCAGTGAGACAGAAAAATTTATAGAAGAGAGATATTGAAAAACGATGTAATGTCCCTCCCCTTGAAGTTTGAGGTGGTCAGCCCCCTGTCCACTGCAAAACAAGGGATCTTGGACGACCGAAATCAACTTTTCAACTTTATAGTGAGAAGGCTGGATTTGAGAGGGAGACCTTTTTTCCCAAAGACAAAATTCTTACTCTCTAGTAGCCTACATCTCATGTCCTGGCGGGATATAAGCTCCACCCTTTTACTTCAACTCCCCTATTGTTTAGACTATGGAACAATATTTTCCAATGAGGTGCCACTCAAAAAACCCGGGGGATGGCTGTTTTCATTTTTTCAAGATCTTCTGCTCCTATAAAATTTTTTGTACTCGACTGAAAAGCCTACTTTAGGCGAAACGTTTTTGAAATAAAAATACCTAACTGTTGCGTAGGTCTTACCTAACAACCCGTCGGTATTTTATACCTTTTTTAATTTCACTTTTCAATTTTCCACCATCACTACTACCCTTTTACCACCATCACTACATTTGAATAAGAAAGGGGATCCTCAGCAGGGTGTTGGCCCATCTAGGCAGGCCTTTACAATTTTCCCCCTAACAAAACTTGCCCCCCCGATTTTCAATCACCCCAAAAAATAAGCTCTGATGTGCAAATCCCCCCAAATCCAACCCCTCCCACTATGATTATCCCAACCTAAATTTGAAACTACCAAATCCTAGCCCCAATAACCCAACTAGGGAGAAAAGTTCCCCCTCATCCCTATTTCCCAAACCCAAAACTTTCCCATGTCCTTTCTAAATCTAAACTTACGAATTTAAATCCTTACTGGGGTTTTCTTGGGGGGATATCTCAAGACCCTTTTAAAACCCCCCTTTTTATACCATCTTCCCCTTTGGGAGGTAGCACATAGGCAACGTTAGGCAAATTTATTCGAAAAGTTTCGCCCCAAAAGTACTTCTTCAGTCGAAACGAAAGTAGGCGGAAAAAGAGAGATGTAAAACATGTAATCGTCCATCACCCTTGAAGTCTAGTTTAGGTTGTCAGTCCCCCGGCCCGGAGAATTCTTTTTTAGTCGGAACATGAAGATCAAGCGAAGGCGGAACTTTAAAAACTGTGGGAAAGGGAGGGGTAGTAGTGAGAATGTACCATGAGAGGTCAGGGGCACTCTCAAATCCCAAAAGTTTTCACTTGAAGGGGTTTTTTTAAGGCATTTTTGTACCAAGAGGCCCTTTTGTTTTCAGTGTTGACAAGATGAACATCAAAAAGGTATACAAAAACCGACAGGTTGGTAGTAAGACACATAGGGAAAGTTTGGCAACTTTATTTCCCAAACGTTTCGCCTACACGTAGGGTTCTTCAGTCGAAAAAAAAGAGGCAGGGAAAAGTAGAAGTGAAGACAATGTAATCGTCCACACCCCCTTTAAGTCAGAAATTTTAGGTTTTCAGCCCCGGCCTGGGGAAGTTCAGTTCCATTTGTCAGGGAAAATTGAAAATCAAGCGACGTCGGAACTTAAATATGCGGGAAAGGGGAGGTTGTTGTAGTAGTGAGAATGTAGCCACTGAGAGGTCAGGTCCTTTAAATCCAACAGTTTTTCCCTTTAAAAAGGGGTCTAAGGGTTTTCTGTACCAAAGGCCCTGTTTCAGTGGACAAGAGAACAAAAATGTATACAATACCCAAGGTTTGGGAGGTAAGACAATAGGAACAGTTTGGCAACTTTTTTCCCAAAGTTTTGCCTAACATAGGCTTCTTTAGTCGAATACAGAAGTGGCGGAACAGTAGAGATGTGAAAACGTGTAATCAGTCCTCACCCCTTTAAGTCATAGTTTGAGGTTGTCAGTCCCTGCCTTCTTTCTGTTTCGACTGAAAAAGCCCACGTGTGGCAAAAGTTTCGGAATAAGTTGCCAAAATGTTGCCCTATGTGTCTTACCTCCAACCTGTCGGTATTGTATCCTTTTTATGTTCATCTTCCCCTTAAACCTTCGATCGGTTCCCCCCATTTTTCGTTTTAAAAATGAATGTAACTTAAGAGTCTTAACTTTCTTCATAGGAAGATTTCTATTGTATTTAAATTTTGTCACCCCGTGAATGTTTTTCTAACAATTTTGTCCTTCTGTAATATGGAGACCCAAATTTAGCGCATAATCTGGGGGGCCTTTTAAGATGTATAAAGCTGCAGTTGCCCGGACTTTGTTTCTTGCACTTCTTGAATAAAACCCCGTAAAAATATTTCCCTTTTTATTCTCTTAGCATTGCTGTCTTGGTTTAAGGTTTCTTCACCATAACCCCCAAGTCCTTTTTGCAATCTTTGGGTAAATTCACATCATTTTAAAAAATAAATGTAGGGTTTTTGGACATTCCCGACTTCAGAAATTGCATTTATCTACATTGAACTGATTTTGCCCTTTTCTGACAAAAATATTTGTTTAAAACCCTGAAGTTCCCAACGTCAGTTTTTAATTTAATTATCCTACCTTCTTTGGTATCGGGAATTTTCTCATATCAATAAATTTCCCCCACAGTCTTTTATATAATTTAAAAAAACAACGGGCCCCAAAACTTTTTCCCCGTGGAACGCCATTGTTACAGATCCCCCACTGGATTTAACCCCATTGGACACTCTCTGCTTCCCGTCTTGGCCTGATCGATCCACGAGACACTTTTCCCCCAGTTCCATGAACTGCCCTTTCTTTAACGTCTAGGGGCGGAAAAACTATCAAAACCTTACAAAAAAACTAATAAAAAATACAAATTCTTTTCAGGCAACAGCCTCAAAGCTTACTGAAGGAAGTTAATAAATTTGTTAGACAAACCCGGGCCCCTTGTGAATCCCTGTGATTCAAATCAAGCATCCTTATTGAGATGGTCTTATAATCTAGTTTAAAAAGACTCAGTAATTGCCCTAATTTTGGTCAGGCTTATTGGGGGGGTAAATTTTACGGTAAGACTTGTCCCTGTTTTTAAAAAAAAGGAATTCTTAGCCCTCTTCCCACATATCAGAACTCACCCGTTTGAAGAGATATAAAATATTATTAATGGTTCACAGAGTTCCATTTTGCATTCCTTAAAAACATAAGAAGAAGGAAAAACTGCAGCAGGCCTACTGGGCCCCTGCGAGGCAGGGCCAAGTTCCACCAGCTTTAAACCCAAGCACCCAAATATCAGGTCAGGTCCCCGATTAAGGGAGGAAACGGCAACCCACCTGGTGCACAAGCTATCAGGTCCAACTCACACCCCCCCACATCCCCTTGATTTATCCAACCATTTTTAAAGCTCACAACGTTTTGGGCCCCTATAAACGTACTTGGGAGTTTGTTCCCCCAAAACCACAAACCCTTTACCCAAACCCGTATTCCCATATCCCCTTCCCGAAACTGGATTTTTCAACTTAAAACCATTCTGCGAGTCCTGTAAAGGTAGATATTTTCAGCAAATCTAAATGAGGCCCAACCAATTTGATAGAGTTGAAAAACAACCGAGGACCCTATTTTTATTCTTGTAGAAGCCCGGTTCGTTGCTTTTTTGCGAACACTTATGCCTGTTGTCTTGGTTCAGATTACTGCTAAACCCGAACTCCTAAAACTTTTTTGCAATCCCTAATATTAAGATTACTTTATTTATTTATTTGGCTGGTTTTTGTCCTGTCCAAAATTTAGAACTTTGCATTTGTCTATATTAAAAATGCATCGCCCCTCTCCGCCCTGATCATCTATTCAAATCTTCCTGGAGTGCTCTGATGTCCTCCCCAGAATGAAATTTGGACGGCCTATTTTGGTGTCATCTGCAAATTTCTGATGCGCCTTTTTTTCCCTCATTTTTGGATTTTTTTTAAGGGGCCCCCGCCCCTTAAAAGCGTCGCTTACCGTTTTTTCCCATTTTAAACAGTGATTATGTATGAGTGAGGTGAAAGTGTTGAATGATGATGAAAGTATTTTCTTTTTGGGGATTTTTTCATTTTGGATCACCCTGCCTCAGTGGGAGATGGGTTACTTGTTACAAAAAAAAAAAAAAATTTACAAATACATGTGTATGCATGTATTTGTACATAGTATACAGTATTTCCATCCAGAGTTAAAAAGCTCAATTCCTGGGTCTCCTGTGAGGTATTATAAACTAGACAATTATATGTACGTATTTTCTTTTTGTGATTTTTATGAGTTACACCTACCATCCGACTTACGACCGAGTTTGGTTCCGAGAAACCGGTCGTAAGTCGAAATGGTTGTAAGTCGAACTTTACTACTGAATATCAACAAAACATTTTTGTAATGACTTTATTTTATTGTTTTATTTTGGTATTTCACGTTTTACTTTACTTTTTATGCTGTTAGTACTGTATTTTATACTGTAAGGCTTAGGATAAACACTTTGTACAACACAAATACAGTGGTCCCTCAGTAATCGTCCATAATCCGTTCCTGGAAGTGGGACTATTATCGAAATGGACGATTTTCGAATCAATTTTCCCCATAAGAAGTAATGTAAATCCAATTAATTCATTCCAGACACCCAGAAGTATCAAAAACATTTTTTTTTTTACCTAAAAGATAGATTTA